TGCTGGGCCGACGGGGTCTCACGGGAACGTGGCTGCTGCTGGCGCTGGCTGCCACCAAAGCCTCCACGCTGCGCGGCTGCACCTCGACTAGCACCACCGCCGCCGCCACCTCCACCACCGCTGCCGCTGCCTCCACCACCGCAGCCGCTGCCTCCACCACCTCCGCCGCTGCCTCCACCACCTCCACCGCCACCACTGAAGCCCCCACTCCTGGCACCACCCCCACCTCCACCCCCAACCCATCCGCCTCCTCCACCGCCTCCGCCGCCGCCCCCGCCGTCCCATCCACCACCCTTGCTTCCCTTGCCCTTGCTGTTGCGGCGCCTCCCACTGGGAGCAGACGCAGTCCCGACCTCCTCAGTGCCAACGAGGTCGACAGCAGCAGCAGAAGTAACAGAGGGGAGAAGGGGGAAAGGGGAACACCCCTCAAGGGGTGCGACGGTCGCCGCGAGAAGCACCTACAGCTAAGATACTCTTCTCAGCTGCAGCGAGGCGCTCCTCTAGCAGGTCGACAGTGAGCTCGGTGGGGCAAAGGGAGAGAAAGTGGTCCCTGACTGAAGCAAGGGAGTCAGGGAGGCGGGTTACTAGGTAGTAAAGGGTGATGTACATGGGGGGGGGGGGTTCTTGGCACAGAACTCAGTGGGAAGGGCAGCGCGGTAGCGGGCGTCACTAGTGCGGAGGTGAGTAATGAGGTCAGCAACTGTGGCAAAGGCGGCAAGGTCAGGGAAAATGTACGGCAGCATGAGGCGGCTGAGGGCAGCAGTGGCAGGGGAGGAGTAGCGCGCAACTACAGCGTCGTACAAAGACTTAGCAGTCTTGTACTGGCCAAAATGCGCGCGCTCAGCAGGCGGCAGGTGACTACGAACAGCAAGACGAGCAACAGCGTCACGAGTGGTCCACTGCGAGCGAACCGTACTGTCAGCAGTGGCAGCAGGTGCAGTAGAGACACCGGACGTGTGATAAAAAAGGGATACCCCATCCCTAGAGTCACACTGAAGAAAGAGGTGCAGGTCGTCAACCCACACGTCAAAGTCAACTGCACGTCCCTCAGCATCGAAGGTGAGAACAGTAGGGCTAGCCATAACAGCAGTAGCAGCAGAGGCAGCAGTAGCAGCAGTAGTAGCAGGGCAGTGCGGCTCAGTAGGGCGGCGCGGCTCGGTAGGGCGGCTCGGCTCGGTAGGGCGGCTCGGCTCGGCAGAGCGGCGCGGCTCAGTGGGCGGTGCGGCTCGGCTGGGCGGCGCGGCTCGGCTTCTGGCGGCGCGGCGCAGCAGGGCGGCGCGGGTGCTTACCAGGGGCGGGTGCAGGGCAGGGCCGGGACAGCAGGGGCCGTGACGGCTGGGGCCGCGACAGCAGGGGCCGCGACAGCAGGGGCCGTGATAGCTGGGGCGGCGACGGCAAGGGCCGCGACAGCAGGGGCCTCGAAGGCTGGGGCCGCGACAGCAGCAGGGGCCGTGACGGCAGCACGGGCCGCGACGGCAGCAGGGGCCGCGACAGGCGGTGACGGCAGGGCCGCGACAGTAGGGGCTGCGACGGGCGAGGGCCGCGACAGTAGCAGGGGCCGCGTCGGCAGTAGGGGCCGCGCCGGCAGTAGGGGTCGCGACGGCAGTAGGGGCCGTGATGGGCGGTAGGGGCCGCGACGGCAGTTGGGGCCGTGACGGCAGTTAGGGCCGCGACGGCAGGTGGGACCGCGATGGCAGTAGGGGCCGCGACGGCAGTAGGGGCCGCGACTGCAGTAGGGGCCGCGACGGGCGGCAGGGCAGGGTGCGAGGTGCGCTTTGGGCAGGGCGCGAGGCGCGCTTCGGGCAGGGCAGGAAAAAAAATCGTGGTGGGCCCTAAAAAAAAACGTTCCCACTAGGGAACCTGCTCAGAATACCATGTTAGGGTACATTCCTGTGGGGACACTTGTGTCTCAATCACTTTGTGACACCCAAAAACAACATAAACTGTGTTGTGTCCCAAATGCGAATCGGCTTTCGGCGACTTGTACTGTATTTATTATTGGTCAGCGTGAAACGCGCTGACATCGCTGTCGAATTGTGAAACGACCCGTCATTGTTAAAGAATCGCACGCGACTCGAAATGCCCGACACGACCACATGCACCTGGACATCCGAAAATGCCAATTTTGCGAGGGAAAAGATCCCGCGCATCGAAACCACGCCCCTGCTCGGAGGTTGAAAATACGGGTGTACTGTCACCCAGTCAAATGCACACACCTGTACATCGCTTTTTGATCCCCGCCAGTGAAACGTGTCCAACTGAACCTGCCAATATGTCGCCCTACATCGCGGTACATTCGATGTTTGTGACACAACATTGGGAAAATTAACAGGCGCGATTCGGGAAAACGGGGATTGAGACACAAGTGTCCCCACAGGAATGTACCCTTAGAATAGTGAACGAATGAATGACTGAACTAGAAAGCAGGTGGGTACAAGTAGCAAACCTAAAAGTGTTGTACCCTATACAAACTACCCCACTACAGCCTAGACAGACTATAGTATATAAGTTTGACAGCAATGAGCCGAGCGAGGTGAAGGGCATCGAAATTCAATAATGTGGGAATGGAAAATGTGAGTTTCGTTACAATGATTTCAGTACAATTATAGCAAAATCAAACAGAGGGTGGCGCTTATAATCCGTAAGCCTCCAGTGGTGAGCTTATAATCGAGGACCGGATATATGCGCCGTCATCCTTTTATAAGCGCCGGCGCTTATCCGAGGCCTGCGCTTATATCCGGGGGCTTCCGGTACTAACCCTAAAGTGTTGTACCCCTTGTAGGCTAACCCACTATAGCCTAGAAAGAACACAAATATATAGTTAGACAAATGAAGTCTGGTCTAAGGCGCCAGTTTTAGATACTCGTCCAATAAGGCAGGTGTTTGAATCTCGTTCCTGGCAACTCGTTAGGGAACTCGTTTTTTTTTTTTTTTTTTTTTTTTTGAGTTCCCCCCTTGACACAAATAATCAAATGATATTCTGGAACAAACGTGGAGAACTCATCAATTAATTGTACATCCGGACTATACCTTTGTATACAAACCCCACATCCGTGTATCTATGTTTGCCGAATTGAACTTGCTACTTCAAGGACAGGATTGTATACACTGTCACACAGAAAATACATATTTTTATTGCTTATGAGTGCAGCCTGAAACACTTAGACAGCCTGAACCCTGATATTATGTCAGCATGTTCATACAAGCACAAATATACATGCCCTTTTATGACAAGTCACCGATCTATGAATCAGATCCAGCCCAATAGCGGGTTACTTTCAGCACAACCCTCCAGACAAGGGGAGGCTCGATTGGTTGATGGTAGCCACCTGCACCGTTCAAGATGCTGTTGATGGTAGCCAGCTCGTTGCGACCTCGGCGAAAAAATGAACGAGAACAATTAGGACATGGGGACGACGTTTGCTACACGAGCAAATCGTTTCGCTTCGCCATCCCACAGTCGCCATAGGCAGCCGAAGCGCAGCAGGTGACCCGCAGTGCCAGCCGAGCGAGAGAGGATGCACGAGGGGTGCGCATAGGGGGGCCGGAGGGTAGAGGTAACTTTGGGGGAAAATTACTGTAGAAATGTAATGGGGGAGGCAGTATTGGTGGTGGGGGTGGGGGGGAGGGGAGGGAGGGGGGGGAGGAAGGGGGGAGGGAGGGGGGAGGAAGGGGGGAGGGGGAGGGGGGGGGGGTTTGGGAAATGCCCACATTTTCCACATTTTACCTGCGCCTCGGTTCGCCCGCACTAGTGCTCATCCTAGCAGATTTTTGCGACTAGAGAAGGAAGATCGGCACACGCTCCTACCACAAGGCAGCGGAGTTTCCGGCTGGAGGCTCGGGGCGCAGAATATCCAGCGCTGGAAAGATTGGCGCAGCAGCTTAGTTGGCAGTAGCTAGCAGCTAGGCTGGCGAATTTCGCGCAGCCTCGGAAAAAACGTGCTTCTTGGCGAGGCTAAGACGGAAGGAACACGTCAATGGCAAGGCTCATCTCTCAAGTAGTAGTACGAATGCGCGTTGCTGGAAGGAACGAAAGTCGTTATCAGCGGCGACGCAAGCGAAGAGACGAAGGGCCTCTCACGCCATTGCCTAATATTTGATAGCAGTGGTGGCATATGTCACAAGAATCCATTTCACCGAAACCCTAAATCAGTCCTGCTTCAGCGAAAGGCTTCTGATTCTCGCTCACGCTTCGTTCAGCCGTGATTTCAACTATACCGAATCCAGGACATTCATAGTGCACTCTCCTTCCGTCATAAGACTGGATATAATCGCAAATACCATACCTGGCGACTAATTCTTACGTTGTCGTAGGAACCGATACGGAACGTTCCCGAACGATTACTGCGTGCGATGGAGATCCGTCGATGTCGCACCGTTTCTCAGTCACGGGCCAGCGTGGGCTGTCTGCTTGCTTTGCTTATCCTCGCCAAAAGCAACTTCGTTTGCGCGCAAGAAGGTAAGAGTATTTTTCCAGCTTGAGCTATGCGATTGGAAGGGAATAGCCCCGCTGTTCACAATGTTTCGCGAAACTCATGTTTACGCCTTTCAGAGTACTTATTCCAAGCCTCGGTTCGTTTGCAGCTGACCAATCAAAGATAATCTTGGAGGCCCAGCAACCATCGCAAGATGACACCTCCGTAGCCGCACAGGCGCCCGCACCTGAAATTCCACCTCAAACTGCACCTGAATCGCAACCTGCGCCGCCTCCTGAAGCGCCAGGAGAATCTTTCAACGGGTCGGCCTCCAATGTAACGGGAAACCCGCCGGATATTCCGCTACTGGACAAACCAGTCGACAAGGTTATCCCTTCAGCCGTATCTGACGTTTACATCGTTCGCCTTCGCGCCGCCCCGCCAATCGCGGGATATACCGGCGGAATCAATGGGATTGCCGCCACGGCAGCGGAGGCTGTCAGAGATTCTGTGTCTGATGTCATCAATTCAGTGGCGGGCCGGATTCGCAGGGGGCGTCGCCGAGCGAATCGCCAAGCGACGCGAATGAACCTGGGGTCGCCAGCTGTCGCGCAGTTCAAGCAGTGGCTCGATCGGCTGCAGGATGGAGTTGCCAATGATGTGCGCCTGCCGCGCGCGAATGTACTGTACAAGTGAGTTGTAACAACCACCTATAGCAATTACTGTAGACGCATACATTATTTTTTGTTTGTTTCCTTGACTTCCTGCATTTACCCTGCACTCCATTTTGTGACTCGATCTTGCGAACCCCTACATCCATCTCCTACTGCCAGCTCACCGTCCCTTCTGTTTCTCTCCTTTGCCAGGTTCAAACACGTCAGCAATGCCTTCGTGGCGCGTTTGACACCTAAGCAGCTGCAGCAGCTGAAGCGGCACCCAGCAGTTGCCGAAGTCAAATCCAACTACCAAATCAGCAAGCTCACCACCGACTCTGCAAACTTTCTAAACCTGCCCGGGACTCTCTGGACCGCCCGGGGCCGCGAGCGGGCAGGAGAAGGCGTAGTCGTGGGAATAGTCGACACGGGAATTTGGCCAGAACACCCTTCATTTTCCTCGAATGTTACTCCACCTGAACTTCCATATCCTAACCCTCCACCTACCTGGAAAGGCACCTGTCAGGCAACGGCGGACTTTCTGTGCAACAGAAAGGTGATTGGCGCAAGGTTTTTCAATGCCGGGTTCCAGGCGTGGTTCGGGCAGGAAGACTTGCGAGCTGATTGGACGTCGGCTCGGGATGCGGACGGGCACGGCACCTGGTGTGCATCGTGAGTGATCGATACCCCCTTGTCTCTCCCTCCCTCCTTTACTTTCCCCACATTCTAAACCGCAATGCTGACTTGCTTCTCCTGTCCACGTTCCACTGCAGATGTCATCACCACCACTGCCATCACAGGATGTTCTGGCCTTTCCACTAACCCCACAAAGTCCACCTCCTTTCTCTCTCAACCCCCCCCTTTCCTTAGGTTCATCCATGCTTGTATGGTTAAAACATTAAACGTCTTTTTGACCCCCCTCCAATGGTTAACCCCTTTGCCTGCCTCTCCCACCCCTCCTTCCCTCTCAATAACGCAGAGCGGCAGCAGGAAACAGCAACGTGCCCATTGTGCTGCCTCCCCGCAAGACAACCATCGGCAACGCCACTGGCATGGCACCCCGCGCCTTCCTCGCAGCCTACAAGGTCTTCTGGGGCAACGCCAACACGGGCGGGACCACTGCCACGTATGCTGACGTGGAGGCAGCTGTCGACGCTGCTGTCGCTGATGGGGTTGACGTCATCTCGCTCTCCCTGGGCGGCGCAGACCCCAGTGCCACGTATTTTACAGATCTGCCGTATTTATATGCGAATCTGGCCGGAGCGGTGGTGGTTTATGCGGCGGGGAACTCTGGTCCGCCGCCTCTCACCTCCTCCATGTATCGTAGTATCTCCAACTTCTCGCCGTTCTACCTCACTGTTGGCGCCAGGTGGGTTTTCAGGTGCTTTTTGTTGGAGCCAGGTATTTATTCAGGTGTTTTTCTGTTGGCGGCAGGCGAGTGCTCAGGTTCCCTTAACAGGGAGGCTCTATGTGTTCATTCCAGGCCAGGGACGTGTGTCAAGCGAAGGGCATGGGTTATGTGTCATTCTACCCCACACCTGCCTGCCCCTCCCTCCCCCTCTTCTCCCTTCTCCCTCACTGCAGCACCATCGCTCGCAGCTACGTTTCTTCAGCCACGCTGGGCGATGGCCGGGTTTTGAAGCTCTATGGCTTCGGCTCGGGGAACGTAGCGGTGCAGAGACTGGTGCTGGTGGAGGGGATTGCAGTGCGGGCAGCTGGGAAGACTGAGACCGAGGTGAGCGTGGGGAAGCAGTAAGTGAGCATCAGTGTTTGGCTTTGGCTTGGGGAACGTGGGAGCGCAGTGCAGAGACACGGGCTGGTGGATGGGATTGCAGTGCGAGCGGCAGGGAAGACTGAGACCGAGGTAAGCGTGAGGAAGGGCATATGTGCCTGAATCTCAGTGTTTGGATGGCTTTCAGGCATGGTCGTGACTCCTGAGGCTGAACGATTTTGGCTTGGTACTTGCTCACTCCCCTTCATCCCCCACCCTCCAGGGCCAGTAGTACTGCGTTGCAGGCTCACTGAACGCCACCAAGATCGCCGGCAAGATCGTGCTGTGCTCGTATGGATGGACCAGCACCGGCAGCAACCCTCCCTCATCCATTCCCAATTTTCCCCCCTTTTCATCCCCGTCCTTCCCCCTTACCAGGGTCAGTATTGCTTCACAGGCTCACTGAACGCCACCAAGATCGCCGGCAAGATCGTGCTGTGCTCGTATGGATGGACCAGCACCGGCAGCAAGGCAGCAGAGGTTGCTAGCAAGGGCGGCAGGGCAGTGATCGTGGTGGATGTACCTGTTGCAGCCAGACCTTACACCATCTATGAGTCCCGGCTGCCTGTCATGGGCGCGGAGGCTAGCGAGACGGGTGTTTTGCGCATGTACACCCGAACCATGGTCAGGTGAGGGGCTACTACACTCACTTTCTGCGTTTAGTAAGGGTTGTGCCCACACCCAGATAATTCCTCCAGCATACCCCTAGCATACCCCTGGCATACCCAGATCCGTTTTTTTTTTTTTTTTTTTTTTTTTTTTACTCCCCTACCCATTCCCATTCCCGCTTTTTGCAGATCATTCCCCCCTCTCCCCCTCGCTCTCCCCTCCGCCAGCCCGGCTGCATCCTTCGCCTACACCTTCAAGACAGACCTAACCACCGATGAGGCCCCCGAAATCGCTTGTTCTATTCTGACTCGCGCGTTTCCTGCCGTCCCTTGACCATTTTTCCTCTTCTCCCTCTCCCTCTCCCCTCCGCCAGCCCGACTGCTTCCTTCTCCTACGCCTTCAAGACAGACCTAACTACCGATGAGGCCCCCGAAGTCGCGTATTTCTCGTCAGCTGGCCCGCTCGTCAACCCCGCTGACGCAACCAAGCCCACCTTCCCCACCAACGACATCTTAAAGCCCGATATAATCGGTCCCGGCGTTTCTCTATGGGCCGCTGCGCGATCCTCGTCGCTCGCGTCAGCTTCTACCCCCAGTTACGCGATGCTTTGCGGAACCTCCATGGCTACTCCGCACTTGGCGGGAATCGCAGCGCTGCTTGTTGAAAGATACCCTGCTTGGACGCCGTCGCAAGTAATGTCAGCGATTATTACTACAGCGGATGTTACTACTAACAAAAACGGGCCAATTGTAACGGGTGCGACTGGAAACGAGGCGACACCGTGGGATATGGGAGCGGGCCACGTCAATCCCGAGGGTCTCATGGACCCTGGGCTCACTTTTCCCGCCAACGCTGCGGATTATTACAACTTTCTTGCCGGGCAGAATTTGATGACCGCCAAGTCGTTCGCGCCAATCAAAACGAAGATGTCCGCAAGTCCGGCGTACAATCTGAACCGCCCGACGATTTCTGTCTCGCGGTTGAATAAAACGGTGCTGGTGTCGCGAACAGTGCAGAACGTCGCGAATGCAGTATCCAGCTACACTCCTACCATCGTTACACCGCCTGGTGTTATTACAACTGTAAGTCCAAATAAGTTAACAATCCCTCCAATGGGGACTGTAACGTTCGGTGTCCGCTTCACCGTCGCAACGGCGTCTCCTGATTTCCAATTCGGAAGCCTGACATGGAAGGACCAGTTTGGCCATGTGGTGCGGTCGGTGCTGGCGGTGCAACCACTTTACCGGTAGGGCGGGCGGATAGATGGGAGTCTGGCATGTCAGGTTAGGACAGGAGGGCTAGGCTGCATTCCTTCCTAGAGCTGACATGTTGATCCGCTGGAGGTATGGTATGTCCAGGTGGGATAATAATAAAGGGCATGCACTGTGCTCGTATGGATGCCCTTGATTCTGGATTTCTGAATGTAATCTATTATAAGCACACAATACAATTATACAACCAAGCTAAACAATGAGTTGCGGGAACCACACCCTTTTACACCGCACTGGTATCCTTGACATCAGCAGAGGACATGTGACCACCACCAACCAGGCCAGCAGCATCGGAGCCCTCCTCTGGCTCAAGCTTCTTGTCCCATGCGAAACACAGCACTGTGGTAGCGACCCCTGTGGTGAGGACAGAGGAGAGTGCTACAACGGATAGAAGAGAAACCACATAGACAGTAAAAAATGCTTCCAAGAAGAGAGCTAGATCCGGTGGAAACAACGCCTGATAAGCAAAGACCTGCAAATGGATAGAGACGATAAGGAATCCATGCCAGAAGAACACGCATCGAACATGAAAATTGCAAATGTGCTTTTACGAGGAGTCAACATGCAGGATGACCTGCGGAGAATCATGCACAAACACAGAAGAAGCATGCAGGGACAGAGCATACTCACCCCAATTATGCCGATAATGTCGTAAATGATGCCAATGGGAACTGTCAGCATGGCAAGCAGGGCCAGTCCAGCAGCATTGGCCGTGAAAATGGGCGCCAGGAAGCGCTGCAGGATATCGAGACAGAGGCGCAGAGAGCGAGCGAAGCCATGGCCGCTCATAGCACTGGTGGGGAGGACGAGGTAGCTGAGGAAGAACTGGATGACAATCTGCGTGCAGTGAAGCAGCGCCACAAGCAAGCAGCCAAGGACGCCTTGGCCAAAGAGAGCGAGAGAGAGGGCGGAGAGGAGGAGTTGGGCAATGGTGGCGGTGCAGGCGGTGAAGGCAACGGCACAGCAGGTGCCCAGGGATGAGGTGCAAGCCAGAGTGAGGGCTGAGGAGAAGAGATCTAGCTGGCCTCTCAGTGTCACGCCCTCTTCCTTTTCACCCGCCTTCCCGTCCTCGCTGCTACTCCTGCTGCTGCTGCCGCTGGTTGTGACGTACAGCCGGGCATAAACAGCTGCTGTGGAGTAGGTGAGGAGGGCTGATAGCACTCGAGCTACGAAGAGAGAGGTGGGTAGTAGGAGGACGAAGAGGATGATGTTAGCACCGCCGTCAATACTGCTGTACATCAAAGGGAGGCCCAGGAACGAAGCTGCAAGGATAACGGGAAGCGGCATAAGGAAGATGACAGGGGTCTGGGAGACGGTCGTTTGAGCGGCGTGCGCAACAGCAGAGGCTGCAAGTGGCAGGTGGTGGTTGCAGCGCAGCACGAGGAGCAGGGCGACGACGCTGAGAAGCCCCAAGACGACGAATGCGATGAAAAAGATAGCACAGAGGATGAGGGCTTCAGAAAACAGCCAATCGCCTTGCAAGGACCGCCCACGCGCTCTTTTTTCCGCGTCTGACGCGTGGCTTTGGAGATGACGGCGGACGGTGGAGTGAACGGCGCGCACCCAGTAGGCGGCGTGCTGCGCGGAAACGGTCACCACGGGGTGTGCAACGGCGGGCAGTGCGAGCTCGAGGAGGCCCCTGCCGAGGTCGCTCGTGGCCGCAGCGCTGCTGCTGCCGCTGGTAGGTGCGCTGTCGGTGCTCTCAGCCTCCGCTGCCGCGTCAGCAGCGCTGCTCCCCGCCGCTTCAGATGGGTCTTCCTGCCCCTCCATGTTGTCCCCCATGGCGCCCTCCGTTCCCCCTTCCATACCCCCTACCATGCCCCCTTCTGTGCCTTTCATCGCCTCGTCCGCCATGATGGAATCCATCATGGCCGATTCTTCTTCCTCTCCCATTCCTCCCGCCATCATCCCGCCACTGCCTTCGTTCGTCTCCCCACTCTCCCCATCTGACGGCACGAGCGCGAAGTAGTGCACGGCGGAGGTAGCGCTTTGCAGAGCGCAAACCACGGCGGTGAGGATTAATAGCGCGTTCAAGACGCGAGCGGGGATTTTGCGGAGAGAAGAGACGATCAACACGGGGAGGGGAAGGCTGACGGCAAAGCAGAGAATCAACGCAACCGGATAGAGGAAGGGAGAAAATCCTAGTAGGGTCGAGGTGTCGGAAAGCGCATAGAACACGTGGATGACCGCAACGAGAAGGACGACGAGCGGCACGGCGAAGACGAACCGCCATCCCGCGTCGCGCACGGGGCGCTCGTTGAAATTAAAAATGGCGGACGATTTGTCGAAATCGTTCCAGCCGCCAGCCGTCAGATCGTCGAAGCTCTGATGAGGAGTTTTCCCCGCGGCTTTGCGAGCTTCAGCCTGCTCTTCCTGCGGCTCGGCCTTCAATGAAGGGGAATCGACGGCGTGCGACACGAGGCGCTCGGATACTGTGACTTTCGCGTCGCCGTCTTGCGCCCATTGCTCCGCGTGCTGGTGTTTTTCCGCGCGTTCCGCGGGCTGCGTGTGTTCGAAGAGAGGGGGAGAGGAGTACGAGCCTTCAGTCTCCGAAGTCGTACTCGTTAATGGTATATTCTCACCCATTTTTCTGGTCTCTATCTCAACAGGGTTGACAATGCGGGCACCAATGAGTCAAGTTGGTGAGGTCTAATGTAGCTATAGCGATGCAAATAAGCGACTGTTAGCTGCGATCGTGAGGTGGAGTTGAGTAGTGGGGGCTGCCGTGGCTTGTGTTAAGAACTCGTGCGAGTGACAGGTTTTATACTTGTATCTCCTTGTTGCCGTCGCGACTATCAGGGAGGGCGGCCCCTCTGCCGTCCTTAAAGCCCTCATGGCGCTGCCCAAGGTGATACCGTCATTCCTGTTGCTAAACCCCCCCTCGTGGGGGCTGCCGTGGCTTGTGATGGCCCGCCCTCAAGCATATGGTCCTCCTTGACAACGGTGACGATGGGAGTAGTCTTCAGTCCGAAACACAGACATTTCAGATAGTACTTTGTCTTTTCTTTGACCTCCCAACACCTGCATTTCCCCCACACCAATTCCTTCCACACCAAACCCTCTCGCGCCTACACCTCAACAACCCCCGCACAGAAATTCAGGTGATAACCAACAGAACAGGTGGCCGCTGTAGCTGGACTCTGGCAGCCCAGACACCGAGGTCGAGCGGGGTTTCGCTACACCTAGTCCGCGGTATTTTAACCGCCGCTATCTCAACCACGCGAGAATACTTCTCCTTGGTCAGACTTGTTTAAACGAGTAGTTTGAAAATTAATGAGGGTATAATCTAACATTCCCTTCGCGAGATAACGGCAGTTAAAACACTGCCAATGCCGATATTCCCCCTATCTCGGAGCACTAAGTGTGCGTTTCTTCAGACGGAAAAACATCCGGCTGTAAAATAATAGCCTTGAAGTCTTTGGGTGCCCATCTCATTACCCGAAAACGAATAAAGGGTGTTTGAAACAAAACAGTTCACATAGTTAAAATACCGCGGACTAGGTGTAGCACGTCTTTCGTCTCCCTTCACTTGTCGCGTAGCGCCAAGCGTTTCCTCTCTCTCGCTTCGTGTTGGCGAAGGGGGCAAGACTCGCCAGTCCCCCTCTCGCACTCTCAACTGCAGCAGTCGTACATGTTAGAGGGCCCTACGACAGCAAGGGCCCTCGACGACCGTTTGACTTGGCAGGTCGACTATGAAAGACCAAGACGAGCAGTCCAGCACCGACCCTATGATTTGGCGATGGTTGCGTAGTGACGCGATGTGACAACGGCATCACTAAACAATCATTGCTGGGGTGGTGTTAGTCTAGGGAAATCGTGGGCATGCTTCTTGGGTGGTCTTGGTGGTTGTGGGTGATTCTCTGCGAGTCTCGCCATTTCTATTTGTGCTGGGAGAATTGGCGAGCTCGGCATTGACTTCCCTGCTGAGTTGGGTTGGGAAGTTGACGAGGCGCGTTCGCTCACCTACACACCACTTTCGTGGGGTTGGGTTACTGCGCAGTGCCACGCCAACTTTGTGAAACCTTCCCGTAGCCTATATCTAGTTGTGTGTTTGCTTTTGTATTCATAGTTGATATTGCAATTCTACTTGGCCCAAATGCTACTTCAATCCTCACTAAGTCCTTAGAGGCAAACTCTACCGAAACTCTACCAAGTTGCTGGCGCAACATCATTCTCATAGCAGAAACTCTCTCGTTATCGCTACACTCTCTAATATATTCCTTCATGGTGCGGTGAGCGTGGAACGAACACGCATAGATTTTCGTCGTCGTTGATATCCGCGTTCGTATACTCGCCTTGGCGTGCGGCGTTAGTGAAGGGCGCTTATTAATTTAAGTTGAACCTCTCTTAATTTCCCTCCAGTTACGTTCTCGGACCCAAGGATAGGGCGCTTGGTAATTTATTACCATTCGTCTGAGGACCCTTGTGAGGTGACCACGAGACGAGGGATTCAAGGAAGGGACAATTTATTTTAATTTGTGGTACCTTACAGAGACGTCGTAGAGGATGAGTACGGATGAGGCGAACGTGGAGGCCGGTAATTTGCGCGCCCTAGAGGAGGATCTCGTGGCTCGACATTCTCGTGGTGAGATTAGTGATATCGAATACGAGTTAATGTTGGAGGGATTGCGCTCGCGTCGGCGTCGTGAGCACCCTTCGCCACGTGTAGAGAATGTTGAGCAAGCTGCGGGAGGTACTAGTGCGTGGGATATGGCTGTCGATGGCGGAAATAGCGATGACGAGGAGCTTGATGGGTTGATGTCGCGTGGGGTCCTGCGAGGACCAACTCGGTTTAGTACGTCTAGCGTCGGCGGTGTACATGAGCGTGTTCATCGTGCAACAGCGTCACGAGAGCATGCGAATGTAGGACGGCGGAGCATTGCTGGAGGAGGAAATGCGGAAGAGTACGATAGTGAGGCTATGCCGGGCGTTACCCCGATTGGATCGATGTCGAGGGACGAGGGAATAGCCCCCAACTATGGCTACTTCAGATTCACTCCAGACAAGATCGTTGTCCCTAGGCCGTTAGAAGGACGTCACGACCTGTCGACGTGGACAGAATCAATCGAGCCGCAGCTTGAGATCGCTCAGCTAAAACGATTCATAGATGGCACCACCCCCATTCCACCTGCGCGTGCACTTGCGCATCTCTCCCAGTTCCGCGCGATGCAGTTGCTGACGTTCACCACCATTTCCCGATGCTGCTCCCCAACCGTACAGATCGCCCTTAAGGCGTGTCGCATGAAGGTAGATGCCGGCTATCAGGCATGGCAGTTTATTATGCGCACGTACATGGCGAAGGACGATCTGTACATCGGTCAGTTAGAGCAGGCGCTCACTAACATCGAGATGGGAGAGCACGAGTCCGCTACGTCCTATTGCAACCGTGCGCAGCAGATCCTAGTGAACCTGAGGATGGCCGGCATAGATTACTCGCAGGCGTCGTACATCACTCACGTTGTGAAGGGGTTGCCGCAGCAGTACAACCTCTTACGCAGGATGCTGAAGTTGCCGCAGGTGCGCAAGGAGTTGGACGAGGACACCCTCGCTAGCTACATCATCGAGGAGGGGTGTACGCTGGCGGCGGAGGGACGAAAGGACCAATTCCTTCCCCAGGCTAACCAGGTCTTTACCAAGAAGGGTAAGCCCCAATTCCAGCAGACTTCATTCCCTTCCCCTCCCACTACGGCACAGCAGCAGCAGCCTAAGAATGGGGCTGGTGGGGGAGAGGAGAAGTGGAAAGGGGCTAAGGATGGCCAGCCGAAGGGGGGGAAAGGGGGCTTCAAGGGAAAGTGCTATGTGTGTGGACAGACAGGGCATGTTGCTAAGCACTGTCAGCAGCGGGCGGATAAGGAGGCAGACGCTGGTGGAGAGGGTTCTGGAGGTAGCAGCGGAAAGGGGGGTGATGGCTCTAAGGGGAGCGGGCAGTCATCATGTTCGATGGTGAAGCCCGTTGTGGAGCAGACTCCTCTCGTTATGCTGGAGCCTGAGGCCGGAGAAGGCTTACAGGCTGTTGCAGCTGCTGTAAAGGCGAACCCGAGTGTCGTGCTACTTGATAGCGGATGCTCCCACCATCTCATGGGAGATCGTTCTGCATTTGTGGAGATGAGCAGCGGCGGCAGTATTAAACAGGTTACCGGCTTCAACGGCGCCCTTCAGGAGGTGCAGAGGCGAGGCACAGTCGCTCTTCTTGGAGAGGGGGGCAGGCGTGTCTTGGTGCCGGACGTGCTGTACGTACCAGGAGTGCAGGCGAGTCTTCTCTCTGCTGGGCAGCTGCGTGATAGTGGTGTGCAGCTGCTGGATGCCGGGGATGTGACTTTGCTGCGGGCACCAGATGGATCGCTCCTTGGTCGTGCGGAGTTCAAGGGGCGTGTTCTCTGCACGAAATTCCAGCCGTGTTCTACGCAGCAGCAGGAAGGCGAAACGGTGGCACTTCGTACCTTGGCGACGGGCGTGCGGTCTAAGGGGGACCTGTGGCATGCGCGTATGGCACACGTTGGTATTGATGCCATCGAGCGCACAGCGGCTCACGGGTCAGTGAAGGGCTTGGATTTGGAGAAGGGGGGCAAGTCAGACATACCTTGTGTCTCCTGTGTTGGGGGAAAGATCACTCGTCATACCTTTCCTTCTGTGGGAGAGGAGGAGGATGAGTTGCCCGGGGTGGTGCATGCTGACCTGTGTGGCCCTTTCCGTGAAGCAGCTAAGGATGGCAGCCGCTACTTCTTGGTGCTGAAGGATCGCAAGACGCGATATGTCTGGGCCTACCCTTTGGCCCAGAAGAGTGATGCGCTGGCGGCGTTCCAGAAGTGGCTCCCGATGGCAGAGCGACAGTGCAAGACCACGGTGCAGGCGCTGCGCACTGATCGGGGTGGCGAGTTCCTGGGGCACGACTTCACGCTCTTCCTCGACGGCAAAGGCATCATCCATGACCTCACATGCCCGTACACGCCAGAGCAGAACGGGATGGCCGAGAGGGAGATGCGCAGCATTGTGGAGGCGGTGCGGACGATGTTGCTGCACATGGGTGTGCAGCATCACTGGTGGCACCTGGCGTTGGCGCAGGCCGTCTGGGTGCACAACCGCGTGGAGCACGCCTCACTACCCTCTGGTGTGACGCCGTATGAGCTCGCCTTCCGACGCAAACCTGATGTCAGTATGGTGCGTGTTTGGGGCTGCATGCTGCAGTACATGGTACCACAGTCGCAGCGTGGGGGGAAGCTGGCGCCTAAGGCTCGCTGGGGGTTGCACTTGGGTGTGTCAGCTGCGAGCAAGGGCTGGACCGTGCTGGACTTGGAGTCCAACCGCCTCATCACCACTGTGGAAGCTGTGTTTTATGAGACCATGTCCCTGGCAGGATGGAAGGCTTGGCATCAGCAGGAGCATGGGGGGTGTTCGATGCCCTATGCGCCCCTTCCCTCACTCTTCCCGATCACTCTCGAGGAGGCGGAGGAGGAGGAGGAGGTGGTCGCACCTCCTGCTATGCCCTATGTCCCTACCTCAGTCCCCGCCCCACCTCCGCCTTCAGTCTACCCTCGTGTGATTCCCCCTGCCCCGCCTTCTTCCTCCTCACCCCCCTTGGCTTCCCC